AAAGAACGATATTTCAGTGTTATAACGTCGTATGAAATGTTTGGGCAGTAGCATAGCCCAAGCAAGCCATATTTTTTTTAACAATTATTGTACCTTAATGGGGAAAAAAACTTTAAAACAGCTGCTGCGCATCGTTCTGTATTCGTGCGCGCTTTCCTCAGTCATTTAGCGAGCCTTTTATTATACCAAGAAACTTTATTGACGCTCCCATTGAATGGTTATCTGTGCAAAAAAAAATTAACCTATTTTAAATTTCCAGCCAAACCCATTCAATAGAAAAGTTTTTATCGCTAATTGACACTCACATTCATTACAATAAAACTTTAATTGGACTGTCAGCAATTCTCCATTAGGTCAACTTTGAGATTTCTTAGTAAAATTGAAAATTAGTCCATAACTAACAAAATTGTACTCCACAAATGAAATGCGATGAGCTGTCGCTACCTTCAAATTATTTACTTATGAGAACATGAAAAGTCACGCTGCACCCAACCCATTCTCCGCCTAATGCCCCTTAAGTGTGCCAAATACTTACATACATACACATATGTATGTATGTATGTACTTAGTTATGAGTGTTTTATGAATAATATTTTCTCACTGGTCGGTTTTTACAACCCAAAAATGTAGGGCACATAAATACTTAGCCCGCAATAAGCGAGAGTGCGAATTCCCTGCAAAGAAAATTTGATCTTTTTAGGTTCTGGTTAAAAAACTAAAATTGTTTACAGTCTCGGCAAGTAGTCCGTTGTGAGTGGATTTTAAGCATTTATAAAGAGGGGAATCTTTAAGAGTAAAACTTTTTGAAGTATTTCCAAATTCGTTCGGGGGTTTTAAAGATTCCTGTTTGATAAGTACATTATAATTAGAAATGTTTCGTAAAAGTGCAAAAAGAGTAGAAATCTCAAAACCATTATCGAAATATCTTATATTTTACGGGTAGGGCTTTTTAAAAAGTAGCATATAACTCCGTTGTTTTTGGTACTAACACTTTAATTTTTTTAATGAAGGTGTTTTTTAATATATCCTACCGAAATCTGTGAAAATCGCAGTACGAAAAAAGTGTTGGTCAGGGCCTTTGTGCATTGAGGTAACGATTTTTTTTTTGTTACTTCTCTAGGAGCCTCTCACACAGCAGATACAGATTACAGAGCACAAGCTTCGAGCTGAGGCATTTTCCTGTGGGGCTCGCATAATTTTTATGTTCACATTCATAGCATAACATAACCATGTGACCAAATGTGCGTACATACGTAAGTAATAATATTACATGCGTAGTAAATAATTGCGATAACTATGAATGTTATGATGAGACTAAAGAGCGAAATACACCACACAAGCGGTTTGACAAACCAAGCGAAATTTCCCTTTGCTTCAAGCCATTTGTGCTGTGTATGGGGGTGTTTGAAGGTTTGACAAACCGCTTGAGGGAAATTTGAGCAAAAATCAAAATTTTTTGATTTTCTGGCCGCCATGTTGACGTTTGATCAAACCGCTTGCGATGTGGATGGTAAAATCGCCTCATTTGTTGCTGAATTTTCACCAAGTGAGGACGTAAGGGAGAAAAATGGAAGAAAACCAACATTTTTAACATTGTGAACCGGAGGAAAACTAAAATTCTGTGCTTGAACGACTCATGTTTGCATGGTCCATGGCAAAATGGGAAAAGTATGTTTGACAAGCCGCTTGTGTGGTGTATTTCGCTCTTAAGCTTATGATAATAATACGAATATGTATAAGCTTTTGTCAACTCATAGCGATGGCTATTGGAAATTTTTTATACATATATACATATGTACATACATATATACTTGTTAAAGTGCTCTACATCATTAGCCAATATGTTTGTTATGTTTATTTTTTCGCGGAATTGGTAGAACAGTCAAATCGTTTGTTGGCCTATGAATGGCGGCTATTAATTTTTGTTATTGTATGGGTTTTATAGATATCTGGGTGAGTAATGCCACTTTACTTATATGTACATATGTACATACATTTGAATCAAAAATTAGCTGATATACATATGTGCAGATATACATACATATGTATGTACCTAGGATGTTTGTATGTACATAAATGCGCATTATAGAAAATTCCGTCCACCTAATTGCGTCAAATGTCATCTTTATTTTGGCTGTAATTAAGATTACACTTCAACTGATTCCAGATGGGCTTTCTATACCACTTCCTAACATGAAATCTCACAATGAACTGTCTCTTTATTTGTATTCACATTAGGGCTGGGAGTTCTATATGGATTTTTTCAATATCCGTATAATCTCGATATTCGAATACCTGGTTAAAAATTATCCGTATATTCGGTTTCTCGAATCTAAAAATAAAAATTGTTTGTGTTTTAATCAAGCTTTCTATTATTTATTTTGCAAATCAATAGATTAGCGAATCCGTTCAAAAAAAAAACTGTTTAAAATATCCGGATAACCAAGATATTCGGATATTCGGAGTTTATGAGTATATAAGAAGGGCTATTTGGATATCGGAATATGCGGATACTCCCAGCCCCAATTCACATAAATATGTACAAGGTGTAAAATAATAACAGCCGCACGGTTTTGTTTTTAATAAAATGGAAGTACCCTTTTAGATTTTGCGAAAAAATAATGTCTGTCAAGTAATATAAACAGAGCACAGTTGCTGAAGGGGACTGTTGCAATTAAAGAAGGTAGTTGTGTGGGAAATTTCTTCCTGTCCAATGCAAAACCGCTCTTCTTTAGAAGATATTTTGATTCAAATTTGTTTTCGTACTGTCATTGGTGGCTAATAAATTTCCTTGCCATTTTTTCTTTGTTTTGTATTGTTTTTTTTTTTTTGTATTCTTCATACAGCTGGCCTCTTAAATAAGTTTTCTATTCGCGCAGTCACTTTGTCGCACTATCTTCAGTTTGAAGCCTCCAATTAATTCGCTTATTGTTCTAACCTTTTCTGTTTACCCTCCAAAATTATTTCAGCACATTTTCCATTTACTTTCACTCTTCAATATTTGCTGCGATACTTGAGTGCAGATGTCGTTTGTATTGCATCATTGTAAGAATTTTATCGAATCGTATTGATCTTCAAATGGTTAAATATTTGTTTTTTTTTTCGGGGAGCAAGCGAACAAAAACTGCAATTGCCTGCGGCCACTTTCCGCTTCCACTTTTGCTGCTACCCTTGCACTCACTCTGCGGTAAATTAGGATACATACTTGGATGTTTGGCACTTTGCAGCTGTTATCCGAGCATCTGCATGTTGCATTTTTAATTATTACTTTTGTCGAGTGCGTTTCGAAATGAATAGAAAGTCTGCGGGGTGGAGAAATGTGACTCGTGTTACGCGTCAATTATTGCGGAACAAAATTACAAGTATAGGCCGGCATGCCAATGGAGAAGGGTGAGTGGAAGGGGTGTTACTGAATTGTGGTTTACCTAGGGTGATAAATAGGATATAACAGACAAAGGTAGTACGCATATTAGGGTGGTTCAAAAAACACACGGAAACCCCACTTTTTGTTGCGACCACCCCCTTTTCCTTGAATTGTAGACAAAGAAAACTGTATTTCTTTTTTCAGAATTGGTTACTATTTAATGGGCATTGATGTACCTATTCCATGTATTTTACATTTGCAAAATAAATTTTTTAACAAACTTTTTTCGCGACCCTGTCTAATGCACGTACATATTAATGTACAGATACATATGTATGTATTATGCCAATAAACCGCAATCCAAAAAAAAACATACATTTTTAACTGATAAAAGTATATTTCTTCACCCATTCAAACCGAATTTCAAATGTTTTATGAGAGAAAAAGACGGTTTGAACTTATAATGGCCGATTCCACGCCCAATAAGAAGCAGCTTACGTCGGCTTGCCTCCAAATTTAATTCACTTTAAAACGCACACCAAATGCCATAATTAAAAAGCACTCAACGTTCATTTTCCACAATCAATTTTTCTCCGACTTAGTTGCAAAAACAAAGTGATTTATCCTGGTATAAGGAAGCACTCTCACATATCCTACAAATACACACACACACTCACACACATCCACACTTCACTGCACAAAATTTCTCTGTTGCATAGACTGCAAGACACAATGACTACGCCCCTACGTGACTTTACGCCGAAAGCCGTACATTAAAAGCAAAGCCACCAAGCCACCAAGCCACCAAGCGGCCAAGCCTCTGCACCGCCGCCAAAGCAGAGTCGGAAGTCACCACACTTGCATTACCTTGGCAGTGACATGCATTGCACTGTGTTTACTTTTCTGATAAAGCAACGGCGGCTAATGTGAGGCCGGGAAGGTCCTTGCTCCGAGCGCTGCACACACAGAATCAGCGCATAACGCTTGCAGTGCCATCTATGAGATACGAAATACCGCGCATGCACCAAACTACGACTCGCGGTGTCCTCGCGATGATGATACCTCACCGTTGCATTGCTCGGTTGGGCGACTGTTTGTTTGGTCAACAATTCGACAGTAGTAACTGTGCCCTGTTGCCGTTCGTGCGCGTAGCCATATCACTGCCAAGCAAAGTAACAAAAACCTCACAAGGACTAACGATTTGAAATCGGATTTTTTTTTTTTTTACAAAATGCGCGTAGTTCATTTCTAAGCCTTATTTTTTATGAAATTTTCTACTTTTGTAATTTTGATACGAAATTATGTAATTGATAAGCGTGAGCAGCAAAAGTTTGCGAGCTATTTTGATGTGTGCCACCTTGAATTCCGTTTGGTGTGTAAAAAATCGATAAGATGGTTTTTTACGGTACTACTCCTTGTCACTCTGTTCGCACTCGTATTTATGGGATAAGGATACACAGCGGAAGTGCCGTCTGAGTAGGTGAGCGTGAGAGTCGGTCAATGTTTGTGCGCAACATATTCGTGCGATAATCTATTGAATGAAAGTGTAAAGTCTATTCAATGAATGTTTCCGCTTTTAATTGCTTACCTTACTTTACATAATTGACTTTTTTTGCTTTGTACCGCCCTTTCCTAGGTCATAACTCCCCAGCGTCACGGTGATGTTTATATCTACAACTGGCCGGCAGCAGCTTCTTCATCTTCAGTCAGTCATCGGCACAGTCAGCCACACCAGCCACATCAATACCATCATCAGAGTCACCCACATTCACAGTCTCAGCAGCTTTACAGCAACCAAAGTATATACCAGAACATATCCATGATGTCGGCGGCGGCCGCAAACGGCAGCGGAAATGGCAGCGAGTTCGAAACTTACGATACACCAAAGCCGGCCACCCCAGTCAATTACGATTGCCCCAAGAACGTGTGTCGCACACCAACGCAACTGCGCTTCGGCGATAATATGCCGCTAAACATGAAAGTCTGCTCGACGCCTATTCAAGAAGAGTCCTACGACGTGCCTCGTCCACTGCAGACGCTCGTCCAGCATCAAAGTACACTGACGCCTAGCAGCTCGAATTCATCGCTGCTTACCAGTGACAGTCTGAGCCTATCATTTTCATCGTCGAATCGTTCATCGCTGGCGAATATGCCCGACTACGATGTGCCGCGTCGTAATCCGCTGCCGGTTCGTGCGGTTCAACAACAACAGCAACTACTGCTTCAGCAAAGGCAGCAGTCGGTGCAGTTTATCAATGGCAACTGCTCAACCTACGACTTTCCACTGCCGTCAAATCTTTCCACACCGGTTGCGGAGAAGTCCTCGCCCAACGCTACGCTGCTGGCAGCAGCCGCTTCGAAGGAGTTGCCATTGGAGTTATCCTCAGCGCTGCACACCCTCGATAAGCTACAATTCGAAGCAACAACAGCAATAACAAAGTGAGTTGCCTAACGCTAGACACGCGAAGTAAAACTTCTAAGTTAACACCTCATTTCTCATTCCAGGTTGCTGTCTTTTGTCACGCCGAATTGGCGTCTACGCGAGAAACTTGAACCGGTATTGATGGATGTTAAATTAACCGCTGTTCGCTTGCGCACCGCTCTACATGACCTCAGCGAATTCGGTGAAGGCGCACTGGGCAACGCTACCCGCTCGGAGGATCGCAACTTGGCGCTCAAATTGAGGCCACATGTGCGGGCCCTGCGTGATGCTGACAAACTGATACACGACACCACCGAGGCACTGGACGCACAAAGCTGGGCAATCGAGCAACTTACGCGCAACGACGAGAAGTTCAAGACCTTCTGCAAACCGCCCGACAGCCTTGACCAGCTCATTGCATGCGCGCAAACCCTCACTGAGGATGTACGGCAAACAACCTCCTTCATACACGGCAACGGCTCACTGCTATTCAAACACAGTCTGAGCGAGGGTGGCGAGGAAGAGGCGGACAGCACGAAGGCTGAAAGCGCTGCGGAAGACCAAAATACACCAAAGCGAGGCAGTTCAGAGTGGGTGGAAGACTACGATTACGTTTCTTTTGAGTCCAAAGATGCCGCAGCGAAGAAGAACTCGGCTTTGCGTGAGGCAATACCGGCAAATTTGAAAAAGAATTTCGACACGGTCATCAAAGCAGCCGAGACAACGGTTATGGCCGCTTCCAATGTGATGACAACACCGGTAAACAACAACAACGCAAACGCAAAGAAACAGGAGCTCACGCAGAAGGACAAAAAGTTGGTCTGCTATTACGCGGTGCAAATATCCACACACATGGGCAACTTGCAGCAAGCGATCGACTCTTTTCTGGAAACTGTCGAGAAGAATCAGCCGCCGAAATTTTTCATTGCCTACGGCAAGTTTGTGGTGGTGAGCGCGCACAACCTGGTTACCATTGGCGACATTGTGCACCGCAACGTCTCTAAGCCGGAACTGCGCGAGAAGATTTTGCGCTACACAGACGCGCTGTCCGAGGCGCTGAAAACGTGCGTGCAAAAGTCAAAGAAGGCCGCAGCGCAATTCCCCAGCGTCACAGCTGTGCAGGAAATGGTTGACTCCGTGGTGGACATCAGCCACTTGGCGGCCGACCTGAAGGTGGCCATGTTGCAAGCCGTACAGCTAAGTCTATAAATGGGCTGGACACGAATTGTGTTGCATACTGCTAGCCTACACACATCGGTATACATACATACATACATATGTATGCCACTATATACTGCATATTATGGAAGGACCGCAAAGCAACACAAATTTTTGGCATTTGTTTTTGTCAAAGGCTTCAAAAGTCTTCCACCCCTTAGAGCAGAAATCCGAGAGCTAATTAAAACTTAAAAGCGCTGTTAAATAAATAAATGAGCTTCAATGCTTTTTGCTTCCAGCAATAAAATATTGTCCAAAATATTACGCACAGTGGAGCTAAGGGACTCGTATCTAAAGGAAATTTAAGCACATAAGAAAACTTACATAATCAACTGGCGCTGACTGCTCGGCACAATGCCGGAAACGAAAACGCCAAATTCCTGTCGTTTATAGAGAGATGATTAAACGGTATTGCAATAATGGGAAACGATTGGGCAACTAATTAGCAAACGATTTTCCGAATAAGTTGTGTTAAGTGCCCGACCACGGTGAGCCGACGAAGCACTTGCACATACATATGTATTAGGAGTAGCGTACGCTCTACTGTGGACACACAAATGTGTATGTATGTAATTAGTAAAGTTAATTTAAATATAATTTTAAATGTGATATTTTAAGCGAACAGTGTTTAAGCAATTATTACATAAATCGCAAATTTCTACAACAAATGTGTTTAGATGCAAAAAGATGCACTTATACATATACTATATGTACATTAGTATATAGATATTCGTGTGTATTTAAAGTCTAATTTATTTTACTTTCTTGTAAATATTTCGTTATCAATGCAGCATATCGCCCTAATACGAGTTGTATTCACTTTAAACCCCACTATAGTATATTAAATTTCTTATCTTTATTTTAAATTATCGTTTAATGTTTAAGTTATTTGTAGAAAAAGTCCGTGGAAGCAATTGCATACAGAAGTATGCTATGAGACTTTTTTTTTTTTATTTCACTGCAGAATCGCTATAAACAGTGGCAGTCATACATTTCGACATAGTCAAAAATCTTAAAGATTAACAAAAAACAAGCATTTATTACAACGCTTTTATTTTTATGTAAATTATTGCATTACTATACTTACATATATCGTAAATTGTATGTATTCCTATGCTAGCAGAGAAATTAAAACGATACAAGTGGGCATGGTATCCTATTGTACCTCTTATACGAACGAGGAAATTATGAAATTCAATAAAATTTAATATAGAAAATAAAGCAAGCTGATGTGTTTATTTATAGAAACTCCCGTCAAAGCGGTTACCATATTTTGGCTTTAACTAATCAAAACCAAAAATTATTGATATCGATATCCTTTCAAAACGATTCTTTTAAAACGGATTTATGTAATTGCATAATTGCTTTTCTAAGCATTTTATGCGTTCTAAGAATATACAAAACTATAAAGAGCACTGGTTATACATACATATGTACATAAAAAAAAGTTTTACAAATAACTACATTCCACTACGCTACTAAAAATACCTTTATGTTACTTACATTGTGGTATGCTATCTTAGTCGGCTATCTTTAAGTTCTTTAGCTGCTTAATAAATCCTACGTTTGGCTGAATACATTCTCGTTTTAACTTTACTAAGGAGTATGCATCATCAAACGGCATGCCACGTTCCAGCATTAAGTAGCCAATAACAGCACTCGCNTTATCCCAGGAGTTTTTCGATGGGATCGTTAGCATTTCATAAATAGAACGTTCATCGATTCGTCCGGTAGCCAACGCAAGTAAGGCACCAACCATGCGACGCACCTGTGTAAATAGAAGCTGTAGCTGCATTCACGTTAAGTTTTGTTGCTTACTTGCTTATAAAGAAACGACTTTGCTTTAAACTCAATATCCCAGTAGTGGTACAAACTCTCAGATATTTCGGCATTGGCTCCAATCGCCACGGACTTTCCAGGCTTAACGTTTATTTCATCGATTACGCGCAGTGTGTACCTAGGATGGTCACGTGTAGGACTATGTTGTCGACTGACGTTCATAAAGGTGCGAAAATTATGCAGTCCAAGAAACATACGAGTTCCAGAGCGCAAACGTTCGATATCGAAGTTGCTATTTCTGGAAAAAGTAAAGTATGCAAAGTACATAAATAGATTAATGATGAAAATATTCTAAGCTTACTGAAGGAAGAAGCATCGATCTATTTCTTCAACAGGCAGAAATGCGTAAAAGTTGTGATTCTTTAATGGATTAGCACAACGGTTGCTGCCCTTAGCCACCGCAAAACGATACAAATATGTTCGCCCTAGAGCATTATAGCGGCAGTGAAAATTCTCCGGTACTTGCTGGGTGCTAAGCACACGTATAGGGAGTCCATTTTTATGCAACAGACTATTTAAAACACATGTTATTGTAGTTGGATCGAATGGCTCAGAGTTCCGGCGTTGCAGGTCAACATGAAGAGTCGAGTGCAATGCATGCACACCAGCATCGGTGCTAAAAAAAAAAGTCAATTTAAAACAAACGCACACATAATATATAATATGGATAATAGATGCAGAATTGCCATTACCGACTAGAAAGCACTGTTTGGATTTCGTTGATGGGA